TGTGACGAACCTCGACACTGAATAAAGTTTAAAAAAAACAAAAAAACAAAACAGATGTGTCACATGATATATAAAAAAACAAAACAAAACAGATGTGTCACATGATATTTAACAAACTATCACTGTGTCAACTTTATATGAAACCCACCAAACACTGGATATGCTGTAACATTACAAGTCAATCGTGGTCTGTGTGTTTTTGCTCATTATGCACTTTTTGGTATTTTGGATCATTGTGAAAGCTTGTATTATAATGCATAATGTATTTAATTATTTTCCAAAATATAAGCACAGGATTATTTATGTGAATCAATCTGACTTGTGTGATTTTTTTCCCTACTCTACATCATGTAGGTTTTTGCAGGCCTGCTGACGAAGCTTCATTTTTTCTGATGTTGCCTGATTAGACCTCTTCTTAGGACTATGTTGGCATGTGCAGATTGTGCTTGATTGACATCTACTTAACTGTACTGATTTGCTGGACCTGTTAGAGGGCAGAGCTAACATCTTGGTCATTCTTATGGTGCAGCCACACAAAAATGTGATGCCCATTTATTACTTCAGTGGTAAAATGGCATTTAATTGCTTTCTTAACAGAAACAGACATTTTGACATAGCATATTACAGTAGGAAAACAGATGTCATTAATAATTTTGGTAATGGCTGCACATTTTTAAGCTGTAATAGTTTCAGGGCCTTGCCACTGTGTGGCTCACACTAGCATGAGTCACAGACACACTTAAATGGAACTGAGCCCATATTTAACAATGTTAATTTGACTCCTGCTTTTCCGGTTATGACAAGTACAAATGTCTGCTGTGAAACAGGCCTATTAAACTTTAAATAATGGTCCAGTGGAATGTGTGTATAATCGTAGCTTGCCTGTTAGACATACAGCTTATGTATAGCATATACAGCTTGCAGCATGTTTAAAATAATTCATGCTCCAGTGGCAGTACCCCACAGTGTGCAAGTCACTTTTACATTGACAGTGTTGATCTGAGCTCACCTTTATGAAGCTTAGTGATATGTCATTGTTAGCATAGCTCTGTGTGGGTGTGCAAGGCCTTCAAAGGAATAGTCTGACACTTTGGAAAATACAGTTTTTACTTTTAAGCCCAGAAATGTAACATCAACATTTACATTTTCTTTAGCTTTGGCTTAAATATAGGGTTGTCAACTCTATATCCCAGTAATCCGAGGGTGGTGGGCACTCTCAGACCGTAAACAAAGACAGACTTTACCGAGTCCAGCAATCACAGATAGAGGTGCAGCCACAAATTAGACAACTCTGACCTTTCATATCATCAAAATATGAAAGTAAAAACGATTTGGATGCACTGTACTGTACAAGAGTTGTTCTTTCAGCACCAACACCACCAAACTACAAAGCACAGCAGAGGACTGGCAATGCATAGTCCATACAATAAGGTATAAGCAGCCAAAATGAATTTAATTAAAAATTTATTGTGCATTTATTGTTGCCCCAGAACTGCCTTCCATTTGAATTTGCATTTTTCCAGGCATTTTACTTACATGTGATCAATCTGCTAAATACGCCAAAATTATCCCAAATTGAATTTTGATTTTTCCAGGAAGCCTTTTCCGTTCCTTGGCATTTGGCAACCCTACTTATACATAAAGTTTGCATTAAATATATTTTCATGCATAGCTTTTGAAATCAAATGTATGAAGAGCTTCAAGGCTTACATTTTCAATATTTAAGCATGCAATTACTCAGATATTCTGATTTTATTGGAAAGTTAAAATTAACATTAAAACTTGATTCAGTAGAGCAAAACACTTCCTCAGTGGTTGAACAAGTAAAAACCTTTTTTTCAGACTGCTACCTGCATTATTCCAAAACATGACTCAATTTGTCAGTTGCTGACTTCAAGTCTTGTTGTCTGACTGATCCATGTGTAGTACTGTGACAGTCGAGTGTAGATGCCATACTTCCCGTACTGGGCACACCCCTCCCCCCAGCTGATGATGCCTGTCAGGAACCAAGTGCCCTTGTAATTGGTGGCATGCGGGCCCCCACTGTCCCCTTGACATGAATCCTTTTGTTCACTGTGGTAACCGGCACAGAACATAAAGCGTGTGATGTGGTCCCGGCTGCTCTGTTTACACAAGGTGCGTTCCACATAGGGGACCTCCAGCTTCTGAAGCTTAGGGGCCGTGAGGCCCAGGGACCTCAGTGTTCCCCAGCCACTCACCAGAGAGTTTCTGGACTCTCTCGTTATGTCCTCTATAAAGTCTTTGGGGCCTAGGCAGATGGGACGCCGTTGGTCAGACATTTCCACTGGATCAGCAAGCTTCAGCAGTGCAATATCATGATTATATGGTGACTCAGTATAATTGTAACTGTGGTGGATGTGCTCATCTGCTACCACATGGTCTCGCTCTGGACCCTCATCCTGACTCACATCATGTTCACCTAAAAATATAAGTAGATAACAATTATATAATTCTGAGCACCAGGTAGTGGGTGATGGGTTTTGAAGCTTCTGAAGTAGTTTCCTTGCTCAGAATTAAAGAAGCAGCACAACATTATAGTAAAAAGCATGTCCAACAAAACAATTTTAGTATGACAATAAAATGCTTTGATGACAACAGAGTAAATGCATATCAATTGTCAATAGGATCTGTTTTTGAAAATACTTCGTAATTATTTATGCTTATCGGAGTAAAACATGCAAATAACCCACCTGGTCCTTTAACACAAGCTGACATTAACTGAAATGTTTGCGTTTAGATTTAGGTTGTGAGTATAGATGTTGTTTCTTACCGACTCTGACGAAATAAATTTTTTTAGGAATCAGACAGTGGGCCGCAGTGATGACCCATAAGTCACTGAGAAGTGATCCTCCACAGAAGGGCAGCATTTTTGCATAGTCAGCTGAGTAACTCACCAGGGCCACCTGCAAATATATACAAATACTTATTTGTATCAAATCTAGATATTTTGTAGTGAATTTCCATAAATGTGAGGGACATACAGTGGTAAGTAAATGCACTGCAGCCCACATATCCCAAAATGCAACTCAGCTGGTAAAAGCCTACACTTTCACCACAGTACTCTTTGTCTTTGTTCTGTCTCCACCCCATGTTTCCCTGTTATTTTAGACCCAGCCCCTTGTCACTGCAACATTTTAGCCTTGGTGTCTGCACTTTGGTCCTTAAACTAAAATACAGCAGTGACTATGTGCAAGACATCTCATTTTCAAAATGAAGTTTCTTTATTTACCTCAATAGAAGAGAAAATCACCTGAATGCACCCCATCTGTCAATCATTCACTTTCAACTCATGTCTGCAGTATGTCTCCCATAATACAGTACCTGCCAAGGTATCTCTCCAGGTGTGGCTTCATTTCCTCCCACAATCCTGTGTTTGTTGTTTTTCTTTGCAGTGATGGTGGGGAGTGTGGGGAAGAAAGCCCAGGAAGGCGGTTGGTTCTCACTGGGTGTCTCAGTGACATTGCGTGCATCATCAGCGCTCATGACAGGATTTATAGAAGAGTTTGAATCTGGCTTTGGTGCACGTATATCTATTGCAGAGGCCACAGAGCTGTTGAATGGGTCTGAATCATTCACCGGGTGGTTGTAGTAATCATATGATTGTGTTATGTTGTCATCATAATAGGCTTCCTGCAGGCCGTTGAGTGTCATGTTTGATGACCGTGGGTTTATGAGAGACCTGTCGACGGAGGTGGAGGACAAGCTCACTTGACCACAGCTGAACGGCCCTATGGGGAAAATAATGGCAAAGCAAAGAGGGAATATAATTGTTTTGTCTCTTATACATCATTGAATATTACAATGTAAGACTGTTTGTTTGGTTGCTTGTATTGTTGTTGTTGTTGTTGTTTTGCAGCTGAGTCAGTTTTATCTGCAGTCTTTGTCACAGGTTGAGATTAAAATGCAGCAAAAAAAAAAAAAAACCATAAGTCACTGAGAAGTGATCCTCCACAGAAGGGCAGCATTTTTGCATAGTCAGCTGAGTAACTCACCAGGGCCACCTGCAAATATATACAAATACTTATTTGTATCAAATCTAGATATTTTGTAGTGAATTTCCATAAATGTGAGGGACATACAGTGGTAAGTAAATGCACTGCAGCCCACATATCCCAAAATGCAACTCAGCTGGTAAAAGCCTACACTTTCACCACAGTACTCTTTGTCTTTGTTCTGTCTCCACCCCATGTTTCCCTGTTATTTTAGACCCAGCCCCTTGTCACTGCAACATTTTAGCCTTGGTGTCTGCACTTTGGTCCTTAAACTAAAATACAGCAGTGACTATGTGCAAGACATCTCATTTTCAAAATGAAGTTTCTTTATTTACCTCAATAGAAGAGAAAATCACCTGAATGCACCCCATCTGTCAATCATTCACTTTCAACTCATGTCTGCAGTATGTCTCCCATAATACAGTACCTGCCAAGGTATCTCTCCAGGTGTGGCTTCATTTCCTCCCACAATCCTGTGTTTGTTGTTTTTCTTTGCAGTGATGGTGGGGAGTGTGGGGAAGAAAGCCCAGGAAGGCGGTTGGTTCTCACTGGGTGTCTCAGTGACATTGCGTGCATCATCAGCGCTCATGACAGGATTTATAGAAGAGTTTGAATCTGGCTTTGGTGCACGTATATCTATTGCAGAGGCCACAGAGCTGTTGAATGGGTCTGAATCATTCACCGGGTGGTCGTAGTAATCATATGACTGTGTTATGTTGTCATCATAATAGGCTTCCCGCAGGCTGTTGAGTGTCATGTTTGATGGCCGTGGGTTTATGGGAGACCTGTCGACGGAGGTGGAGGACAAGCTCACTTGACCACAGCTGAACGGCCCTATGGGGAAAATAATGGCAAAGCAAAGAGGGAATATAATTGTTTTGTCTCTTATACATCATTGAATATTACAATGTAAGACTGTTTGTTTGGTTGCTTGTATTGTTGTTGTTGTTGTTGTTTTGCAGCTGAGTCAGTTTTATCTGCAGTCTTTGTCACAGGTTGAGATTAAAATGCAGCAAAAAAAAAAAAAAAAATCAGGTCAACAACTGACTTTTATTTTGGTGTATAGAGAATGGGTAGGTTTGAGCATAGAATGTGGTCTTTGTGGAGAAGGCTATGTTATTGTAGAGATACACACCGATCAGCCATAACATTATGACCACCTCCCTAATATTGAGAGAGTCCCCCTTTTGCCACCAAAGGAGCTCTGATCTGTTGAGACATGGACTCCGCCAGACCTCTGAGTGTGTCCTCTGGTATCTGGCACAAAGACATCAGCAGTAGATGCTTTAATTCCTTAAGATGTGAGGTAAGGCCCCACGGATTAGGCTTCTTTGTCCAGCACATCCCATAGATGCTTGACTGGATTGAGATCTGGGGAATTTGGAGGCCAAGTCTACACCCTAAACTTGTAACTGTGCACCTCTGACTAGTTTGCGACTATGCAGCCCCATACGCAGTGAGCTATGATGGATTGTGTTCTGACACCTTTCTATCAGAACTTGCAGTGAGCTATGATGGACTGTGTTCTGACACCTTTCTATCAGAACTAGTAGTAGGTTTTCCAGCGATTTGTGCTACAGTAGCTCTTCTGTGGGATTGGACAACATGGGCTAGCCTTCACTTCCCATGCACATCAAGGAGCTTTGGCTGCCCATGACCCTGTCTCCGATTCACTGTTTGTCCAAAGGTTAGCTGCTTCTGTTTAGGTTGCAGAAGTTGTTCAAGTGTCAGTTGTTTTATATGCTGGTTTCCTTTGTGGTTCTCAGAGTGTTCACTCTGTCAACTGTAAACATCCATGACCTTGTCTCCGGTTCACTGTTTGTCCATTTTTCCTGCACATCGCTCATCAACTTTGAGGACTGAATGTTCACTTGCTGCCTAATACACCCCACACACTAACAGGTGCCTTTGTAATGAGACAATCAATGTTTCTGTGCAGATTCTCAGTCATCCAGGTTATAGTATGCTGAAAAAACTTAGTAAATTGTGTTTTTTCGACAATCATTGTTATTCACTTCACCTGTCAGTGGTCATAATATTATGGCTGATTGGTGCACGTTTCTTGTGGTTAAGGTCAGTGTAATTAAAGGTTAGCTGCTTCTGTTTAGGTTGCAGAAGTTGTTCAAGTGTCAGTTGTTTTATATGCTGGTTTCCTTTGTGGTTCTCAGAGTGTTCACTCTGTCAACTGTAAACATAAATTATGTACTTAATGCGACAACTGTAAACAGCAGCAGACAGTTTATGAGCCAGTCTGTGATTCCTTAATGGCTACCAAAGGGTTGGGAGCTGTAACATGATGAGTTCAGCATTCTGTTGCATCTCTTTAAGAAGCAGCTTGTATATCGTAAGTTCTGGTTTACGACTGTGGGTGAGGATGTTTGTGTACAGTGGCTGACACCAGGATTCCACTTAGGGAAATACAACATGTCGTACTGGTCTCAAATGTGAATGTAATGAAAACAGTTTAGTACAGTAGGGCTCCAGTGTTCTAGGACTGTTTCCATTTGTGTGGATATGGCACAGATTATATGTACGCTGTGTTCATTCAGCATTTGTTGTAGTGCGTTTAATACATTGTAATAAGAAAGCAATTAGGGCTGTGTTGCAAAACTAAATTATATTAAAATATGCTATCCAAATTAGGTTTAACAACCATGAATAAATGGTATGCGTGGTTTATTGTGTTACTTCACCTGTTGCTTCACAGCTTTTCTTGTTTGCCCCAAGTCTGTACCCTGTTGCACACTGACAAACAGGTTGATCCATCTGCAACACGCAGAAATGGGAACAGCCACCGTTGTTGATCGAACAATGTTTGGTCACCTCTGGAAACAGTGGAAAAACAGAATGAATCTTGTTTATGTAAAACTCTAAGCAGCTCAAGGGCTACATTACAGTGCACAATTACAGCTGTAAAGAGCCACATTTGAAACAACTGGACCTTTTGGTGTAGTGATAAAAGAGACTGGATTTAGTCTCAAGAGAGTCATCTTACTCATTCTGACCAAGGAAGATTCAGTTGGTGTACCTGTAACTGGCTTTTTAACCAGGAAAAGGGCATAAGGTAAAAAAAAACAAACAAAAAAACAGTAAAAATCCTTCATATCACCTCAGACCTGTCACACTCACCGATCTCACAGTTCTTGCCAGTGAAATTTGGGTTGCACCAGCAAACATAAGAGCCGACTCCATCCTCACACACACCTCCATTCTGGCAGGGGGGTGGGTCACACTGGTCTCCATCTTCATGCAAGTGTAAAATACGCCCACACAGGTTTAGAGGGGATTGTAAGCTTTAAATTCAGAAAAACTGTGATATTTTCATTTGTCACTTGTCTTACCAGTGTAGCCAGCCCAGAACTCCATCTGAAAAAGAAGCACAAGTGTTAATAACAAATGTCAGTTAAGCCATTACAAGCACTTCGTTAACCTTCTGTAATTTAACCTACTGTCTTCTCATCGTTCTCAAACACCTCCCTGGCCTCCTCTATTGAACAGCTCTCCTCTTTACACTCCCGTTCCAGGTCGTCTTTGTGAAACATTTCTTCTAAATTCGAGTTGTACCTGCGCTGGCGCTGCAGTACCGCGTGTGCTGCCTGCTGAGATGCAAACACAGCTCCTAAAACAGTAACAGAGGATAAAGAGGAAATTAATGGCTCTGACATTATTCTTCAACAGTGCTCAGGGGAGACCCCTCTTAGTTTAAAAACCCGTGGCTCTGTTATTTTTAAGCATTTTTATTAGCATATTACTTAAATAAAAACTAGCAATTACTTTAATTACCAGGGACAGGACACATTAGCATCAATAAGATGTACAGTAAACATATGATTTATCCAAAAGTCTCACTTTAGTCTGCAGCCTGAGAGCATTTTGATGTTATTAGAATATTAAAAAACAAAACAATATCACAGCAGCAACCATACTCTATTATAGAACAATGTACATGAAGTGATTTCTATAAATGTTGAGATTTTCTTTTTTCAGCCATTAAAACTTTTCATCCATGAAATGTAACAAACCATATTCGCTGTTGTCTACAACAAAGGACTCCTAGCTTTTTCGTCCACTGTTCATAGCTATCAGGGCGAGCCTTTGGTAGTAAATGCATGGAGTACAACTTTAAGACTTGGGGTCAGAGATCAGACCTGACCACCAGCCCCTTGCTATAATTTTATGTCTCATTAATCTCCTGTTGTGTACCTGTCTTCTTCTCTGGGATTTCTGCTGCCAGTCCATACACCTCCAGCAGTAAACCAGCCACAAGGGCCAGCAAACAAACTCCAGCCATCTTGTTGTTGTCAGTTGTCCGTCTGCTTTTGCCAGCTGAGCTAAAACCTGAAATCAGTGCTAGATAGATTGATCCACCGCTCCAAAGTACAGCAACTCACTGTTTACTCACTTCAGAGCCTTATTCAGTCATGCCAGATTGATATTGAGTAACAGCAAATACTGACTGTGGATGAAAAAGACACATAGGTGGACACTCGTGTGTGAGTGTGTCTGTTGACATTACCGGCTGTTAATCATATGTTTATCATGATGAGTCTTGTCAAATAAGAAGCTCTTGCAGCATGAGCTACGTGAGGGTGGGACACACACAAACATGCATTTCAATACAGGACGTTTTGCCTTCTTTGGTTACGTTTGACTAGTAGCTTATGATGGCTAATGTTAGCAAATATTACACCGATATTGCTATGTAACTGACATTGCTAAGTCCCATTGCTCACGTTTGACTGTTCTCTATTTATGTTATTGTTCTGTACCCACAGCATCTACTGTATATTCTGCTCATGTGACAGCTGTCCCTCCTCTGTTGCTTTACTTGAGGGAATGGGAATCAATCCTCCATCCTTCCAGTTAGAGGATGACTGCTCTAACTCTTGAGCCACAGATGGACCATATCACTTGGATGGACACACGTTACTGTAAATATAAACAAATCAGCTTGGATGCAGCAGAAGGGACTGAAAATGGAATCAAAACTTCCTGGCTGGTGCTGCAATTTACACACTGAGGAATACCCAAACTTGAGGCTCTGAGTATTGAAAGCTGTTTGATTAGAGCATGAGTTACCCTGGGCACGGTTATGGACAAATCATTGACTGACATCCAGGTCGGCTGGCCTTCAGCCAGCAGATCCTTGGCAGCAACGGCTTTGTGGTGCCTTAATAGCTGAGGATGATTTAAACGGTGTGAGGGAGGTTGACCTTTCTTTTTACAGTAACTTATGTAGGAAGTTAAATTCACCTCCCCTGCAAAAGTTATTTTACAGCAGAGCAAACTATGAGGACAGATAACAATTAGCACATTCACCGCTCTTTTAAATACACAGAGAGCAGCAGGGTAAAGTGGTTTGAAACCAGAAAAAGTATGTTGTGGGAATGCCTGTCCCCTGTGTACAGAACTCCAACCAGTCTGTGACCCCCTGATGTGTGGTGGTGACAATGGGTCAACTCATGTGTAATCTAGCCAGAGATTTGTTTGAAAGCTTGATGATTTAAGGAAAGGGCCTCTTTCATTAACAGTGCTCATGACGGAAATTCAATTAGATGATCACTTAACCCATGAGTTTCACCCACATAACAATAATCAGATGCTTTTTAACAAAACATTCTGATTATCTGTAAGCAGAATGTTAAAATTACACATTTCTATGTATGCAGTGCGTGTATAAGGTCACTCGACCTTATACACACACTGTCCTTAGAGGACATGTGGACGTGCAAAGCATGAATTGACTCTGAGCTTGTTTTGTCACACCGTGGATGTTGTTGTTGTTTGTTTTGTTTGTTGTGCTTGTGTCTTGTTCACATGGTCATGCGGTTTAGTGCATCAGAGATGTGTGTGTCGTGGGGCGGACCATCGGTGGGAGGCTGTTCAGCGTGTCTCCCTGTTCCTCACAGCTCCTCTACAGCAAGCCACCCCCACATGTCCAGGGAGGAGGAGTCAATACACAGTAGCCCCGCCCACTCAGACCCCGTTGTTCACTCACCTCGACGCAGTGAGTCCCACAAGCTGATTCAAACAAAAGGCAACCTGCACACAAAAGTACAAGAATCTATTGGCTTTTCCAAAAGCACAGTGTTTTATTTATGTTCTTTTAAAAACTTGGCTTCTGGTTCATTTTTCTTAAGCCAGATCTTAAAGTTGTCTTTTAACATACTGTAAGATACATAGGGTAAAATATAAACTACAACAAATATAAACAGACATATGGTAAAAACCTACAACACGGTTATCAATGCAAGCACACTCAGTGGGCAGTTAGACCAAGACCTGCATTAAAGCCTCTCTTCATGAAAAACTGTTTCTAGAACAGTTTTTGTTCAAACTGTTTTAGAAAGGTATTGATTTAACAGTATGACCATTTTTGAAAATGTAGTTTGTGCTGGTGTTGAACTGTTCTGCATTATACAAAGAGGTGTTTCCCTTGCTTAACCTAGTCTCACAGATATAAATGGGACGGAAAAAATAGAAACAGCAGTTGGTATAATGCATTGCCACCTCCATAAGGTTAGGATTTATTCTAGCATGCTGTCACCTGCAGGTTGGCCTGTCCCTGCCCACTCAGTAGCGATCTGTGAGGGCTTGGAGGACTGGGGTGCTACAGACCTCTCCAACCAGTCAGACTCAGAGGAGGAGGATCAGCCTGCCCCCCTGGTGAGGTTTTGTTACCTTTAGTGGTCAGTGTTACTTTGCCTGTGTAAGAGAACTGTATATGGGGCAAGCAAGCAAAATGATTCATCTTAGGTATAGGAATTTTTAATAGTTGTTTTTATATTTATTCATTTTCTGCTGCATTTTTTTATGTTGGTGATGAAATCCTAGTGTTCTATGGGCTAAATACAGGGCCAGTGTGAATGCACACCTGTCATGCTACAGCAGAGCAAACTATGAGGACAGATAACAATTAGCACATTCACCGCTCTTTTAAATACACAGAGAGCAGCAGGGTAAAGTGGTTTGAAACCAGAAAAAGTATGTTGTGGGAATGCCTGTCCCCTGTGTACAGAAACCAGGCCATACGCCTGAGAGTTGATCAGCAGTTTTATAATCTGATGGTTATTGTAAACAGAATGAAAATGCAACTCGGATCATAGGAATTAAAACCCTCAAAATGATTTACATAATTTTTCATTGTGGATTTTTATTTGTACTATTTGACATCAATATTTCTTTTTTTAAATTATCTTTACATGGCAGCTTATAGATTTTTTTCAAGCATCGTGGAGTATAACTGTTGTCTCAGGAATATTGACTGGGGTCTAATTTGGACAGACAAGCATTGCTGCCTTTGGGTATCAATCTAATTGCTGTGCTACTGTAGATAGTAGAGACGTAACAAAGATGAATCTGATATCAAGTCATTAACCTTGTTTTTCATGTCACATCACATCTGTCAATACACAAATGTCCACTGTCCTTCCCAGGGTAATCATACAACTGTTTTGCAACTCATTAGGTCAGTGTCCTTTCCTGTTCCCTCCTCAGCAGTAAGTACAAACTGACCTCAGAGCAGCTCCCAGTGCAGAGGAATTATTGTGATTGATTATACAGCAAAATGTTACTGTTGTACTTGTGGATTTGATTGATTTTTCTAAATTTCTTCCAGGTAAAATGTTTCCCCTTTGTCAAAGGAGGAATTTGGAGTTGAAGGTCACTCTAAAGTTTCATTGTACGTGTTACAATGACAGTAAAGGATTATCTTATCACTGCCAGACATTTGCTATATATGCAAATACAATATAATTAAGGATGTTTAGCTAATGATGTGGACATTTTTCAGGGGCAGTTTAATTCACACTTCATCTGTTATTATCTGATATTGTGTGATTTGATTACTCCTCTGCAAAGAGAATAAAAAAGCCACTTAATATTTATAACTGATTGAAAAAAAACAAAGCTCATTTTCTTAGTTATTTGCCAGTGATGAGCCTACCAGTTCCCATGAATTCTTCCTTTCTGGAAGCATGCTATCAGAGAGGGTTCAGCTGATGGAAACAGGCGCGGTCTTACTGTATTTGACGCTTCTTGTTCTAATAGTGCAGCTGGCGCCGGATCAGTAATCCTCCAGGCCATGGTGGAGTGCCAGCTGTGCTTTGGTCTGTTGTTTCATTTAAGAAGCTGGAGTCAAAAAGCTACAGTGATGTCACAGACCTGTTATACAAGAGTTAGAAAATCTTGTCACGAGTCAATGTAAAGGATGCGGGTGAGATTTAAAAACTGAATGAACATGTATGTACATCTTATCTTAAAGATTTCAAAATAAAATGACCATAATTGCATTGAGGCATCACTTAGGAAACATAACTCTTCACAACAAACAAGATATTTCATTGATGAAAATCATCCTATTCAAGAACTTCAGTGCATGGGGACAGAAAGTCACTGCAGCTCCAAATAGAGGCTGTCTGGATACACCAGATTTACAGGATTAAGGCTGGCGATCTTCTATTTTCTGTCATTTTCCACAAATACCATACAGCGACTAAACCCAACAATGAATTTCATGTACTCACCGTAATGTCTGTGAATCCAGAACCTGATTTAGCTTATTGTCTGTGCTGTAGACTTCCACTGTTGTCCAAAAAGTGTCAAAAACACACCAGGGAGCCACACCACTGCACAGGGTGACCCATTTCCTCCGCTCAAAGTACATGGGCTACATCTTCAATAAAAAAAAAAATAAATAAAATAAAAAAAAAACCCTCCCCAAAGACTAGTGATGGCCATCATCTTATGCAGTGAAGTAACAAACGCATCAATAAAAAAGAACAGAGAACCTGTATGTGGGACAGCATTTTATTCTTACTATTTGCATGTAGAAATACAGATTGTAATAGTGGACTTAAGGTGATTTATGGTAAATATGTTAAACTTCAACTGCTGCTTAAAAGTTTGTTAAACCTCCTGAAATGAATTCAGTCTGTACAGTCTGAGGCAGAAAACAAACAAACAAACAATGGGTCAATGTCCAACAGGCTGGTCTTGTTATTCCATATAGCTGCTTGATGTAGGTTAATGGAAGAAACCAAATTTATCTGTGACTCAACTTCTTCCAAGAACAATCTTATGTGTAGTCTTGTCCAGTGGACTTGAACCAAATAATGCTGCAGGGAGAAGAAAAGAGAAGAGGTGTAATGTAGGCGTGTCCAACTTTGCCTTGTTTAAAGTCATTTTCCAGCACAAATTGATTAAGCGATCAATAAAGTGAGACATTTGCATAGTGTTAGCCCACTAAATTTGCAGGTGGATTTGCATGATGGATTGAATGTTACCTTGCGAATGGTGACCTAAGATGTGGGTCCTACTATTGTCTTCCCCAAGAACAACATTTTGATTTCACAAGGGTTTAACTGTGCAACTTTCACAATGCCAGGTTATGGAAATTCTTCTCATTTGCTTTGCTGTTTTAGTTCTGAAATCTATCAGGAAGACTCCCTGACTTTGTGGAAAAGGGCTGAAGGACATCTAGAAAACAAAACCATGTATTGACACTTCTTAACATTTAAACAGACATAGTGGTCATACACTTTTCACTTTCTAATAAACCACAAGTCTGAAGTTATAAACCTGTGTTTGTCATTAAATTAGCCATTAAATCTTAAGATATATTGATTAGTCATTAATAAAGCCTCATGAGTTTCTCACCTATAAATCCATCAGTAAATGCTAGTCAGTCAGATACAGTAAAACATTAATGTTAAAGAATAAAGTGGTGAATGTTAAGTTGTTAACAAAAGGAATTCAGAAAACCAGAAAGCTAGTTAGTTGGAAGAGGATTTTATACGTGGCAACACAGAAGTTGTTCTTCATGGCTTACAACTCATCTGTGAAGC